TTGCTTCTAATTGTACCCCCAGAGACCTGAGAACATGCAGCCTGTGAAAGTTAAAGGGAATTTTCCAGCACATATAAATACTCCAACTCCTCTCCTGAAAGGGAGGGAAAAATCAATTTCCCCTGTGATGGAGGACTGCTCACTCCTTAGTACTGACTGAGTAATGCAATGCTCTGTTTTAGAAAACATTATTATTTCTATTATTAATATATTATTATTATTATTTTAAGAAATGGAATTAGAAGCCTGTAGGTTGCTGAACGGGACACGGTGAAATTTCTTACCCTACTCCTGAACTCTGCTGAGCTAATAGTTGGACCTGCATTTCACTTTGTACAGATGTCATATAAACTGACCCCAAGTACTTGATCACTGTTTCACTTCTTTTCCTGTGGTTGCTGTGTTTATTTTGGAACAGAGAGAGCCTGCAGATGTAGGTTTCCCTTCTCCTGCCCCTTAGGCACAGGACAGGCTCGGCAGAACAGGTAAGCAAAATGTGGCCCACAGACCTTTACGTTAAATGTTAATATCAGTCTTTTCCAGGTGCTGTTTGCTTACTGGTCCTGATAAATCTTATACTGGTAGAATCCTGTTTTAATGATTAGCATCAGTACATCTGGTCCTCTATAACAAAGATACTTCCAGGTCCCAACAGACGGCCCAGTGTAACAGAGCTTTTACTGATCTGGTTTCAATAAATCTTAACAAAAAATTCTACATAACAGATGTTTTTTCACTAGTCCCTGTTAATGTTTGCATGGTTCTTTATATCAAAGGTAGTGTGATTTGGGCATTTAGTTGTGCTGTTCAGCATAAGCTATTTTTTAATCAACGGACTGATTTGACAAAATGTTTAAGATGATTTTTCTTTCCTTTTCTCAGGGCGCCCTTTTGGAAGTATCAAAAGGGCTGACAGAAAGTAAAATGTGAGGTGATTCCCCAAATCAAGATAAGAGACTGGCCACAAGGCTTTTCAGTAAAGGTCCCCTTAGAGAAAAAAAAAAAAATCAAGCAAGAAGTCTTCTGTTAAATTACATCAGAATGTAACTATACAATCTGGACGTCCTGTTCAGTTGATTCAATGAGGTGTTCCGGCACTGACCTTTTTAAGGAAGAGATTATTATTTTCCTATAATAACTCAAGGTTTTTTCTTTAATTTTTTAAATAGGAAATGTCAGTGTTCAGCGCTCAAACCACTGCAGCATTTGTGATGCATAAAGTATGTATAAATCACGGGGAGTGTGTGTTAGCTGACCAATGTCCAGGAGCGATTATCAAATGAGAACTTTCTGTTTTTAAACAGCGTTGATCCTTCTCAACCTACCATCTGCCTACAGAGCCGCCATGCTTAGCAATTCTTAGGCTATTCAATGGTTTTTAAACAGAAATGCCAACTCTAGATTTCCGGATTGTTGACGGACACTCATTTTTGTACACAAACAGACACCAGGAAGGGAAGTACGATTATCATGCTGTGCTAAGGAAAATAATACAAGTGAGAAAATATTATTTTTAGATAAGACCACTTCCTAAACCTTTAATGCTATCTCACAAATCTGTCCACATTATGTTGGAATATGAACATGTATGACACAGATTTCTTCCTACCAGGGACAATGCTTCGTGTCTATCTAGACCCCAGTCATTTTCTTTCAGCAATGCTCAACCCAACATTTCATGGCCAAGTCCAGGAAGACAGGACGGTGAGCATTTCCACTCACTGGAAAGAAAAGGGAGTTATGTAAGAATAAGGCTTCAGGGGTCTGCTGGGCAAAATGAGTCCAAAAGAAGAAACAGACAGCCTGTGAGGATTTTGATTCTGGGCTGTCCGTACACAGTTCTCCTTCTATTAAAGTATGTCAGCACTTTTGACTTCTCCTTTTTGTAAAAATAACCCCTTTCTTCTTATATTTCAAGGAAACTGCTCCCATAATTTGTAAATGTTTAATATTCATTCCCCTTAAATGTAATTCGTATATATTCACCGACACATAAATATATAGAATAATAGCACCCCCAGGTGCAAAACAGCCTTCTAGGAAGTTAGATTCAGGACCCTCTGGTTATGAAAGTGTTACTTTGTCTTTCGTGTGTGACTATTAGTTAAAAAAGGTTCTTTAAGCCTCTAGAGTCTAGAATATCCTAGACTTAAGCCCTGGACCATGCCTAATTTAAAAGCCCTCTGCAGGGGCACCCAAGTGGCTCAGTCAGGTAAGTGTCTGACTCTTGATTTCGGCTCAGGTCATGATCTCAGGGTCCAGGGATCAAGTCCCACGTGGGGTTCCACACTCAGTGGGGTGTCTGCTTGGGATTCTCTCTCTCTCCTCCACCCTCTGCTCACACTCTCTTTCTCTCTCTCTAAAATAAATAAATAAATCTTGGGGTGCCTGGGTGGCTCAGCCGTTAGGCGTCTGCCTTTGGCTCGGGTTGTGATCCCAGGGTCCTGGGATCGAGCCCTGTGTCGGGCTCCCTGCTCTGCGGGAAGCCTGCTTCTCCCCCTCTCTGCTGTTCCCCCTGCTTGTGCTCTTGCTCTCTCTCTGTCAAATAAACAAACTAAAACAAACAAATGAATAAATGAATAAATAAATCTTAAAAAAATTAAAAGCCTTCTGTGGTCTCTGTATTCTAAACCGACATCTCATTTTATTGACACTGTTCAGGAAGACGTATTATATTTATAGGGTATGTATACAAATCGAGGCCTTCCAGTTAAATACAACTAAGGTGGCACAGTCCTGCATTAATTATTAAGAGAGCAAAAGATAACTCTAAAATTCTCAATTATGAGAATGGGACATCTAACATGCCTAATGTTCAGCCACCAAACCAAATATGCTCAACGTCAATGTTCTGGGGCTTTCCCTGGGCATAGGTGGGAAGAGGCCCAAACAAGGAATTTAGAATTACTTTTCTTCTTCCCAAACTCCAGACCCTGGGAGCCTCCAAACACTGGGCCTGGTGCAGACACCGGGTGTTTATCAGGGCACCCCACATAATGGATCACCTCCACCTTCCATGATGGGAGTGCTAGGCTGGCAGATAAACTGACCTTTGCGCTAAGGTGTCTGACCTCTCCCTCCCCTGGAGGCTAGTTCTCTCGCCAGACAGCTGGGGACAAACAAACCCGAGAGGCAGCGCTTTGACAAATGAAGCTAAAGCAGGATGCTTTGTTTCTCTGAGGCCCACAAGCTGGCATTCCACAAGCTCATTAGGGGGCCATGAATTACTGGGAGGCCAGGCCTACACATCCTCCTCCTTGGCAATCCCTGTGGCCACACGTTCCCATGAGCTGGGGGGCCAGACTCCGCTGGTCCCAGTTCACATTCCATCCTGTCAGGGGACTCTCGAAAATAAATAATATTTACAGCAGAGTTCAGAGCTCGTGAATGCCAAGGGGAGAAAAGTACCTTCAGAGAATCCACTGGACCTGTGGTTGTTAAAACGATTTTTCATGAGACCAGAAACCTTTGTAAGTATAATGACCCTGCACTTATCAAACCCCCCAAATTCCAATGCTAAATGAAGGGCATAAAAAAGTAACAACTATAAAAAACAGGATATCTGCAGGATATAGAAAATGTTTCATTCAACAAATGTGGTCAATGGTCATTGGCCACCTACAATGCTTAAGGTCTCCAGCTCAGGCTGTAAAACAGCCTTAGTTTAAAAAAAAAAAAATGACTATCTCTGCTTTATAGCAAGAACTTGGGAAGTCTAAATAAAAGGGGCTTGGAGGTCTCCTTATGCAAATATTCAAACTGAACTGAAGGGACTAATTTTAGAATCCGGGGTAAGCACACTGCAACTCACCAGCTAGATCCAGCCCTCTGCCTGTTTTTATATGTCCCACGAGCTAAGAATGGCTTTTACATTCTTTAAATGGTTAGGGGAAAAAAAAAATCAAAAGAATAGTATTTCATGATACAAGAAAATGTATACAGAATTCAGATTTCCAAGTTTATAAATAAAGTTTTATTGGAACACTGCTACGTTCATTTATTTACCTACTGTCTATGGCTGCTTTTACATTTGCAAAGGGAGAGCTGAGTAATGACAACAGAGATTGTAGGGCCTGCGAAACCCAAGATATTTACGTTACAGATCAAATCCACCAAAGCATGAGAAACACACACAAGTTCCTTCAAGGAGTAGAGGCAGGATTTGTTTTTCTTTTTAATGCCAATTTTGCTACTTTCCTATGGATAAGCCAGAATGCTATGCCCTGACACTCTGTTTTCTTGGACCTTTAGACCCTGATTCTAACACACAGGCTATCCCAGACATCTCTCAGGGAGTTCAGTAACACAGAATGCCAGGAGTCACGTCTGTCTTTGAGCAGACAGTCCTGGTGGTGGGTGGCTACCCCTCCCTACTCTGTACAGGCTCCAGGAATGATCATGAGAAGCTGAGAGGCAATGCAACCACGTGGGGTGGCAGGCGACGCCTCAGGGAATGAACAGCAAGACTGGAGCTGGCACTTCTACAGGGTTAAGCGCTGACATTCTCTCCAATGTACTATCTGGAGAAGGAAGAAAAGTGGAAGCGGAGGGCTGTAATACTTTTACGAAGGAAATCTCCCTATGGGATAGCATGCGTCCTCTGGAGGGTCAGGGCACTAAAAATGAGAGAGGGAGAGAAAGAGATGTCCACATCCCAGGGTTGTCTGAAGCCCTAGTCACACCAGAGCGGTGATTCCCGACTCCATGGACACACCTGGGCAACCTGACCACCCTCTAGACAACGGCCATGGGTGACGCTGGGTGCGACTCTCAGCTTTTAGTCACCTCTAGGCTTTTCATTTAGTACAGAAGATCCTCCTTGCCATTATTACATTTCCTCTGCCTGAGGTAGTTGGATCTCATCATTAATATATAATATGAAAGCACTGTCGTCCTACAAAGGATCCAAAGAATAATTTCTTTTAATAGAGATGTAACAGAGCACATGACCCCCCAAAATAACAAAACCAAAAAAACCCCCCAACCTTTTGTAAACTCACCTAGAAAAATCTCCCTTTGCCTCCTGTAGAAGAAAAAAAGTCAACGTCAGGGAAACGTTCCAGTTCAGTGTGCCAGACTTTCAAACACATTCCCTGGTCACGACAGCTTCTCTACTGAGGAAGCTCAGCTTACTACTTCTGTTGTCCTATCTGCTACAGGAAGCCGACAAGGAAAGGACCGGGCATTTGCCACCTGAATCCAAGACACTAAATTACACTTTAGAAAGTTATATACAAAGAAAGCGATTCATGATGACAAAACGCACGTTTCGCCTTCTTAGACCCTGGTTTACCTTTTTCTAGTTTAAAGATTCGGAATCGGAAGGTGTGTCTGGGTAGAGCCGTCTCTGTCCCGAGTTAATTGTGTTGTCTTGTACTGTGGGCTCCTTCCCGATTATACTACCGAGGAACCATGGAACCTTTAATGAATCTAGCACCATGCCTTGAATATAGTAGTCGTTCAAAATAAAGCTTTGTGGAAGGAATAAATTAATGACCTTCTTTCAATTCATCTTGCCAGTGTGACTAATGTTGTCACTGTTGCTACTTTTCATTAATAACTCTTTTACGCATAAGCTGACGGTCTCTCCTTGCCTTTCCATGGGGTGTGAAGTGACTCTCTTGGCAATTAATTCTGCTATTGACTTGGCTTTCTCCAGAGTGGGGAGGGCACCAAACCTGAAGAAAATGGAGTCACTGAATGATCTCAGTTTCCCCCAGACTCAAATGATATAGAGACAGTTTTCCTTTGCAGACAGACACCGTCGTGAAACTTGGGAATACCAGGATCTCCTATTTACTGCTACGGCGTAGCTCCTTCCCGTTAGTGCTATAAATAAATAAGATGGCGAGTAGGGAGAAGATATGGCAGCTAGCTGTGGATGCTAAATCTTATTCCTGTCTCTTCTGGGTCTGGCTCTGGGATGCACAGATGAGGGCAGAACAACCTACCTGTAAAATATAGGAGGCCAATTCAAATACCACTTCACTGTCGACGTCGATCAGCTCCTGAAAGGAAAAATCAACAAGGAAGGTAAGTTTGGTACTTTTACTGATTTCTTTACAACACCTCCTTTGAAAAAGGCCCGGTGTTCCTTTTCTGAGCGATCCCACAGAATCTCAAACACTCAGAATACCTGTGGTCTGAGTGACTTGGCCCCAAATGCTCCCTGACATCCCATTCACGGCTTTTAGCCAGAAGGGACCCAGTGGTCCTGGGTCTTCTCAGTCACCTCAAAGGCCTTATCTTTTAAATCTTGAGAAATTAGGTGGTGGGCCAGTCCTGAGTGTTTTACAAATTTGTTAATCTGGTTCATCAATGGAGTAAGGTTACTTGATATCCAACTGTGTTTTCTTTGTAAACTCTACCCTAGAACCAGGAGTAAGGCTTTATTGAAGGAAAAAAAAAAGTCCTAACAGGATTGTAACTCTTCAAATTAAAAGGAAATGAAATTAAATATACAGTTTCTCATCACAGTGGCCTCCACTGCTTCAAGCACTCAACAGGCGGGTGTTGCTGTCGGCCGCCACGGGGTCGGAGCAGATGCAGGGCACTTCTGTCGTTGCACAAAGTTCTTTAGACCAGCACTGCCACAGAATCTAAGTTTATTTATTTTTTATCTTTTTAAAGACTTAATTTATTTATTTGTCAGAGAGAGAGAGAGAGCACAAGCAGGGGGAGCGGCAGGCAGAGGGAGAGGGTCCCCGCTGAGCAGGGAGCCTGATGCGGGCCTCCATCCCAGGACCCTGGGATCTGACTGAGCCACTCAGGTGCCCCACAGAGTCTAAGTTTTAAAATGCTTCTTTCCTATTCCTTCTTTCCCTAAATATTTAATCATGGGGCGCCTGGGTGGCTCAGTCGTTAAGCGTCTGCCTTCGCCTCAGGTCATGACCCCGGGGTCCTGGGATCGGGCCCCGCGTCGGGCTCCCTGCTTGGCGGGAAGCCGGCTTCTCCCTCTCCCACTCCCCCTGACTCCCCCTCTCTTGTTGTGAGTCTCTCTGTCAAATAAATAAAATCTTTTTAAAAAAATATTTAATCATGATCTATGGATATGGTCTTAAAAGGACATAAACCTCTCCGTGGTTTTTGAAAAAAAATCTAATACATATACATTTCAATATGTATATAGTTCATATCTGTTTTCTAAACACCTATTTAAGGTGTAATTGAAACACAAAAACCCTGCATGTTTCATATACACAATTTGAGGAGTTAGGCCGTGTGCAAAATCTGTGACACCATCACCACATTGAAGGTAATAAACATCCATCACCTCCAAAAGTGTCTTCGTGCCCCTTTATGTGTGTGTGTGTTTACCACATGGTACAAAACACTTAACACGAGATCTTCCCTCTTCACAGATTTTAAGTGCATGGCACTGTACTGCCGTATATAGTTTAGATCTTAAAAACAGAGGGAACTCTGGGGCTCCTGGGTGGCTCAGTTGATTAAGTGTCTGCCTTGCGCTCGGGTCATGATCCCAGGGTACTGGGATCGAGCCCAGAGTGGGACTCCCTGCTCAGCGGGGAGCTTGCTTCTCCCTCCCCCTTTCCTTCTGCTGCTCCCCCTTCTTGTGCTCTCTCTCTCTGTCAAATAAATAAAATCTTAAAAAAAACAAACAGAGGGAACTCTGGAGTCCATCAGCACAGAAAAATAATAAACAAATGAACTAATGTTGTACTTCTGTTTTGAAACTTCAGTAGAAATGTCCATTTTTTCTTTTTCTCTCTCTCATATCACTAGATGCTACAGCAGATGACGGGACCACAGCACGTAGAGCTAAGCCAGGCTTCGACGACACCAGCCAGCCCAGCCCTCTGCTTTTATTGAGATCAGAAATCCAGAAATGTCAAAGGACTCTCCCAAAGCTATAAGGCCTTAAGAGGAGGCTGGAAACAATCCTGCAACCTCTTGTCTAGCAGGTGACCTCCCGGAGTGCATGCATTCGCCTAAGTCAGTAAGGATTCAGGGGTTATCACCTGACACTTGTTAGAATGGCTAGTATCAAAAAGACAAGAAATTGCATGTGTTGGCGAGCACGTGGAGAAAAAGGAACCCTTGTGCACTCTTGGTGGGGGTGTAAAGTGGGGCAGCCTCTACAGAAAACAGAATGGATGTTCCTCAAAAAATTAAAAATAGAAATAGCCTATGACCCAGCAAGTCCACTTCTGGGTACTTGTCCAAAGGAAATGAAAACAACAACTCGAAAAAAAATCTTCACCCCCCTCCCGGTTCACTGCAGCATTATTTAAACATGGAAATAACCTAAGTGTCCATCAACTGATGAATGGATAAAGAAAATGTGGGAAAGACACACTATGGGATATTAACTCAGTCATAAAAAAGGATGAAATCTTGCCATTGGAACACCATGGATGGATCTTGAAGGCATTATGCTAAGTGAAATAAGCCAGACAGAGAAAGACAAGTATTATATGATATCACTTATATGTGGAATCCAAAAGAAAGAAAGAAAATTCAAATTCATAGATACAGAGAACAGGTTGGTGGTTGCCAGAGGCTGGGGGGTGGCAGTGGGGGAAGTGGTAAAGGGGGCCAAAGGGTTAAAAACTTTCCAGTTTATAAAATAAGTAAGTCCCGAGGATGTAATATACAGCACAGTAACTATAGTTGTTATTATACTGTATATTTGAAGGCTGCAAAGAGAGGTAGATCTTGAAAGTTCTCATTGCAAGAAAAAAAATGTGTATGTGGGGTGCTGGATACTAACCAGACCTACTACGGGAGTCATTTCACAAGGTACACAAATATTGGATCATTATGTTGTACACCTGAAACCACTATAATGTTATATGTCAATTATATTTCTAGTAAAAAAAATAAGGACTTGGTCTCAGCCAACATGTTCTCAGAACTGTATCATCAAAGTTAGCTAAAAGTAGAGTTACTTTTCCCTCGCATTATAAACCAAACTCATGGCTTTTCTGATTAATTTCTTTTTGTGGTCCACAACTGGATCATGGAATTCAAAACAACACACTCAAGCAAGCCTGTATCTTTTGAGGGAGGGATCTCATTTGGGCTCTTTCAGGCTCAGTAATTACAAAGATGGATAATCGTATTTGCTACCGAACCACCTTAGAAGTGTGGGCTAAGAGAACCAAGGAGAGCGCAGATGGAAGAATCGGGCACAATAATTCTTTATGCGTAACCAGCGGAGAGCTTTACGGCCACCATAATTGATATAGACTGTTAGGGTTGGGAGACAGAGGAATGCGTGCAATTGCCCTTCGGGGATTACCAGATCCCATCAGAATGTAAATCATTTAACAGTGTACAAGTGACTTAACAGGAACACTGTCCAGGGTTTCCACAATGGCCCATTTCTACTCACACGCCGTTCCTTTCCATTCCCACCAAGGACATGCTGAGCGCTCACGTGCGCGGCCCCGTACCGGGATGTGTGCTCTCCTGTCAAACATTTACACCCATAGTGCAGCTAATGGTCGATGGTGGGCTAATCGTTAACCTTCGAGGAGAGGCTTGTAAGTAGCATGCAACTCAAAACCAGCCATCAGGAACAACCCTTTTAAGTGTGAACATAGCTTTTAGTTCATTATTTGACTCATCTGCTAAATGAAAAAGTACCAGGGAGGGGCGGCAGATTAGCAAAGGCAGAGGAAGGTCTTTGAAAATTTCATTTTATTTCATGCAGCCTGTTATACAGTTCCAGAAGAGTCTGTCAGAAATGAACCTGGTGGTGAACGTGAACTGGAATGTGCCATTATTCCGAGTCAAAGCTACCAAAAATGCATGATTCAAGGCCTGCCCCGATTTACCCAAGTTCTTCCTCACCACACCCGTCCTCAGGGTAACTGGGCACCTTCACCCTTCAACTGGGGTGAGTTTTCACCTTCTCTGACCTTGACCGTCTCCCAGGGAAGATATTAAAAAAACAGGGCGAGTCAAAATGTGTCCAGGAAGAGGGAAAAGGAATTAAAGGCTGAAGTGGCTCAGATAGCGTGCACGCTTGCACAACCTGATGGAAAAGAGCTGCTTCATTACTTCTTCCCATCCCTAGTTAATACTGACTGAGCTCAAGAATCGTCTTGTTGTCTGTCCTCAGAGGAGTCAGCCCAGACATCTAAATGGTGTGTGGAAGAACCAATGCAGGAATGTGGGAGGACACATTCCGAACTGTGAAGAACATTCGTTCCTACCGTGCAGCCTCTACCCCCTTCCCCAACGTCTCCTGCTCACAATGTGCTCCCCCCTCCTTTGACACCTGGCCCTCCCGGGGGGATTTAATCTTTAAAATCCACTGCGATGCAACAGCGTTTGAGACTTTCTGCCCACACCACACGTTTCCTCTTGTGCCTCAAAACCTACAAGCTGGGGGCGCCTGGGTGGCTCAGATGGTTAAGCGTCTGCCTTTGGCTCACGTCATGATCCCAGGACCAAAGCCCTGCATCGGCCTCCTCGCTGGGCAGGGAGCCTGCTTCTCCCTCTGCCTATGCTTGCTCTCTCTCTCTGACAAATAAATAAAATCTTAAGATAAAAAATAAAACCCTACAAGTTGAGTTTCCCGAGTGGAGGGATGGATAGATGTTTCCATCTATCCCTCCCCTCCAGTCACACACGATGTTGCCACCTAACCATCCAAAAGACAACTCTGCCTTATTTTTACATGACTTCTCTGGTAATACCCAGAGGTGGTATCTTTCACGAGTCTCTGCCCCAGCAGAGACAATAAGCCGCACGAGACGACAAAGAGGGCATGCCAAGTTGGCGCTGGGTTTGCCCTAGCTGAGGACAGCATGGGACAGGGGAGTGGGAAAAGACCCGTCAAGGAAGAGCTGTAGGTGCTGCCCAGCTGGCCTGACCCAGAGGCCGGGGTACAACCCTCCTCTGTGCCCCTGAGGCTTTCAGAGCCACTGGAGAGGCATATCTTCGGGGCGTTTGCTGAGCTCCAATCTTACCTAGGGATCCAGGGTGGTCTGATGGGCACGTAAGAACTTTACCTTAGATGCACGGGCACAAGGAAGGT